ATCGAAGGTGGGGAAACGGAGGCAGGTGCCTCGAAAACAGTGGAAATTCCATCGACATGGTGCTGCAGGGAACAGCTCCCCCTCTGGACCAGTATTTTGGCTCGGGGCTGGAGGAGCACAGATAAGGGGGGTCCCTTTGAGCTCTCTTGTCAGGCCACTCTTTACCTTTTGATGAGTAAAGGCTGAGATTCCCAACAATTAGATTCAACTCCTACTAAACAGAGGTGTTGGCTATTTGCCCTTATACTGTATATTTTCATGTCCAGTGGTATCTATCAGCAAGCTAAATGACAACTGTACCCTATGTCTTCTTTGCATTCCTTGTACAACATAGAAGTTCTGATTGTTTATTGCTTAGACTTGCCCTCCTAGCTTGTTTTTTCTATGTCTTATGTCTTGGGGGGGGGAGGGGGGGGGGTGCAGTCTCTCTTGACATTACCTATTTCTACAATAACTGTCTACATGCTTATAATTTGTCAAACCAACCTCATGTATTTCTTACTGCACTACAAAAATAAAGAATTAAAAAAAAATATATATATATATATACACATACTGCAGTGACCTATCCTTCAACTGCTATGTAATATATAACTAAATAATACTGGAAATGCTTTCAATAACAGAGCGTTTTCTATAGTACTGGGGAAGGCAGTGCTGCTACGCTAACTAAGCTGTTGTGGTTGATTACTTGGGTTCTGATGGATAAGTTGCATTCATTGGTGACACACTGACAAAGCATACAGACCCAATGTTGAGTCCTGTGCAGCAATGGGTGGTTGCGATTGGTTGAGAGTGTAAGCAGAGCACTTTCAGGCAATCACAGCCGCCCATTCAGGTATGAATCGGTATGGCTAGAAAGAAGTGTTTAATCTCTTCCTTAGCCACACCTCAAGTAAGGGCCGGGCCTATGGGAAGCCATGGACCCCCAATTCAGTGCAAGACTGCTCAAAAATTGTTTAACACTGTATTGAGGAACAATGCCAGAGAACTCCAGGCACCAAAACGAATTCAATTATATGAAATAGTAATAGTGCCTTTGGTGTCCCTTTAAGAAAATTTGAGTTTGGACTCATATTTAGTCTTGGTAAGGATTGATTGATGTATGGCACCTAGAAATTTAAGGCACTATGGGGTATTTTGCCAATGTAACTCAACACTATGCCTGTCCTGTTATATATTTTTTTTTGTCAATCTCTTTTTTATTAAGGCATTAAGTTATATGGGATACAGAATGAGAAAAGGGTGACAACAAAATTCCATACATAGCAGGTATAATACAATACACTTTATGACAACTCTGAGTAACTGTGAGCCTCTTTTTATTTTAAGAAGAGTAGTTCTAGTGAGTATAACGTAGCGGTAATATAGCGGTTGATACTGAGTGAAGATATCCAGTAGTGTTATATCGACAGTGCTACTTGGTAGTCTAATCAGATAGCTATATGTTAAGCTTAGGTATCGCAGATAGTGAAAACTTAGGGGATTACAGGGGGCTGGGGTGAGGGCAAATGAGAAATACAAGGGCACTCGCTCCTGCTCCTTGGTGGGTGTAGTGAAGTTTAGGCCGTACGCTTTGCCTAGACTCTTGAAATAAGTGCGTTACGGTTATTCCCTCGGTTAAGTGATAAATTAGATTGGGTGTACCTTGCAGGCATTAGCAGGGTTAGTGAGTGCAACCGAGAGCGGTGAACACTTACGGTTGAACATCTAAACTTCCGGGGTGTGAGCACGTATAAGCACCACATTCACCGGATTACATGGGTAATTTGCGAGCTTGCAGCCCTTACCATGTGGAAGCCTACGCGGAACTCACCGGGGTGGCTCCCCCAGAGGGTCGCTAGTAACCAAGAGTCATCTATCTGTCGGGGGTCATAGATCTAAGTGTCACGAGTGATGAAGTAGTCATGGGGAATCCAGGTTCCCCTCGTCCCAGTAATCCCCGGGCTTTCGTGTGTGCGCTGCTTCCCCGTCATGAGTCGAACGCAGGCCTCCACAATGTTTGTGTCGCTGTCGTCAGGTTGCGTCGCCAGGGTTAGGGGGCTTCCGTAGCTATATGTCCACCTTGCGTTACCCATCTACTCTCCAACCCATGGTGGGTCTTTCAGGATTCGTCGGTAATGTGTTAAACGATGTACGGGGTGGCCCTGATGCTAGGTACTCGGTTGGCCCAGTCTTAACCCACGTCGTCTGTACCGCTTACGTCGAGTACCAGACGTGTTCGGTACGGGAGGCCTAGAGGAGTGAAAGCAGGTAGAGCAGAGTGAGCGGAGTTTCAGGAAGAAAAAGAAAAGAGAGGGGGGAGTAGGGAAGCTTGAAGGCATGAGGGAAGGGTGGTAGAGGACAGTATGGTCCTCCCGGGACGCCCCCATCTGGGGTGTAATCCCTCTCTGTGCCCCTCCACAGTGGCTCCCTGAGGGGATCCCAAGGTCTTCCGAGGCCCTCGAGTGACCTAGTCAGCCTCCCCTCCAGCTGTGAGGGAGGCATCGGGCGTTGGTTGTGTCCTGGCAGTGCTGTTTTCAGAGATAAACATGAGCCATGGAGTCCAGATCTGTAGGTAGCGTTCTGTGGTGTTCCGGAGGGAAGCCGTGAGTTGTTCCATGCCATGGATCTCCTCCACTTTGTCCATCCATTGGACAAGAGTGGGCACCTGAAGGGACCGCCACCTTACCGGGATAAGGAGTTTGGCCGCATTTAAGAGGTGTCTGGTCAGTGATTTTTTATAGCGTGATAAGGGTAGGGGGGTGTGGTGAAGGAGCATCTGCAGCGGTTGGAAGGGGAGCTCTATATCCATAATGTCCTTAATCTTCGCGTGGATTTGCCGCCAGAACGTGGCTATCTTCCCGCATGACCACCAAATATGCAAGTCAGTACCCGTCCCCGTGCCGCACCTCCAACAGACCTCTGAGATTTCGGGCATCATCCGGTGGAGCCGCGCCGGAGTCCTATACCAGCCAGTCAGTAGTTTATAGTTTAGCTCTTGATGTTTGGAACTCATGGCGCTTTGGTGGGACAGAATGTGGATTTTCATCCACTGGGGGGCTGAAAGTGTGATGCCCGTGTCATGTGTTTCATGGGTTCCCCGGTGGATGCGGAGAGGATCATTTTGTAGAGGGTAGAGACACCGCGAGTCATATGAGCTCGTCGCACGCACAGGTCCTCGAGTTTCGTGGTCGGTCTATGGAACAGGTGGTGTCCAGCGTGTGACTGATAGTAGGTCTTAACTTGGAAGTATCGGAACCTGTCAAGGCCCGATGGCACTGCCTCTCGTATCAGGTCTGGGAGTTGCTTTAGTGCGTCCCCTGTACACCATTGGTGCATGAACGTCCATTCCGCTTCTCCAAACGCCTTGATATCCCGGGAGTGAGGCTCCCCGCGAGTTCCGGGTTGTGTGAGATCGGGGTGAGCGGTCCCGGTGTAGTGGACAACTGGAGCTTCGTCCTGATGGAGTACCAGGTCCGCAGTGTCACCCCTATCAGAGGGTGGTTCCGAGTCCGCGAGTTAGTCAGCGGGCCGCCAAGCCAGGCACCCGCCGGGAGGGTGCCCCCCAGTTGTGCCCGTTCCAAGTGGATCCACGCCTTGTCGGCCTGTTATATTTTGATATCTAATATAGCAGTGTCAATTCCTGATTTGAAGGTAATTATAAAAAAGGGTTAAGGATTGGAAGATATTTAAAAAAACGTTTAATCAAGAGGAGAGGTGTCTATTAAAACATTTCAGCAAATTATAGGCAAGTAATTTACAAAGGTACTATTTAACATATTTTTTAAAATCACTAATAAGGTTAATTTCCTAAACAAATTGTAGTGAGCTGATCATAAAATTTAGGCAAAAGTAGCAGATATGGAAAAAGTAGCTAACTCTGCTATAGTCACACTTTGGCTATTTTACTCTAAATAAAAATTATTAAAGGGATAAAGAAATTATTACTATTATATTAATAATATTAATACTCCGAGCAACAATTTTGGAATGAAGTTAATGTGGTGCCAGGAGGTCCATGGGGCCAACTTATTGTTATGAGTTAAACCTTTCATGAACCCTTTAATGCAAAAGTCCTCTCTCCAGCGCCATTCTGCTCTGCCCCGTCGTTCTCTGAGATTCTTCAAACAAGAAGCATTACTACGAAAAGAAAATGTTTACCTTTTTTTGGCTGATTTAGTCACTTTAAAAGCAAAATAAATTAAAAGGGATAGTTTAGACACCATCACAACTCCATCTAGATGAGGAGGCCCCCCGGTCACATTCTTACCTTCAGGAATTAAACAGTTCTTTAACGGTTTAACCCCAAGTTGTTTCCAGCACCGATCTAAGCTCCTTCCCACCCCCCGGCAGCATCCGGCTTCTGAAATTTCACTTTCAGGAAGCACAGAGTGCCGCCGGGCAGGGGCACCATGATTGTCTGAGAATGTTCAGCTGACACTCTCAGCCAATCAGTGACTCCTCAGTCACAAATCTGCCTTGGAAAAGGTACGTTTTTTCCAAGCCGTTTTTGTGAATGAGGAGTCAGCTGAAATCGGCACTGGAGGCAACTTTCGAGTTAAATCATTCAAGGTTTAACCCCTGAAGATAAGAATGCACCTAGGTGACTCTTTGCACAATAACAACTTCATTTATATGAAGTTGTTTTGGTGCCTGGAGTGTTCCTTTAATATACACACAAAGTTGAGGGTCAGATGTCGAACACTGATGGAATTGGGAGCATGGAGTTGAATAATTAATTTACCAAGCAGACTTTGCCAGACTTCCACAAGATTTAGATATATAAAGGGACACTTCAGACCCTTAAAGTACTTTGAGAGAGAGAAAGAATAAAAGATAAGGGCTGAGCCAATGAGAACAAAATACAAAATAAAATAGCAAATAGTCCAAATAAATGAGTGTAATAAAAAAAGAAAGTCTTATCTAGAATATGCTCTTTGAGGTCATGGAATCTATCCGTGCTTGATCCGGAACAATTGTCCTTTTTATGTTCATCCGTGAGGGTCCGCTCGTATATAGAAGATAAAAGAGTGGAGAGCCAATAGTGTAAAATGCTTAAAACAATAAAAATGAGTAAAAACTAATTTTTATTGTTTTAAGCATTTTACACTATTGGCTCTCCACTCTTTTATCTTCTATATACGAGCGGACCCTTTATCTTGCTGAAAGTGCGTGCCCTTTTTATTCCATTTTGCACAAAGTGCAGATTTCAATAGGAACTGACACTTTTATACATTAACCTGGTTACGGCTTTCCAGCACACAACAGGTCCGGTTACTTCCTGGTTGGTTTAGCTCAGTGCAACTAAACTCAGGAGGCATCACTTGCCCAGAGCACCTGCCTTGCAGAGACATCTCTTTCAGCTGCATTAAGAAGTCTGTGATTGGACAGCCACAGAAAGTCTGGGCGGGGTTAGAAGGGGAGGGCATGTAAAGGCAGCAGACAATAGATTTGCAGGTTTTGAAAGCGATTTTTATGTATAACTACAATGAAAAAATGCATAATTAAATGCATGTAAGTTTTCATTTGAAGTAGATCTACTAAACAGTGATTTTTATTTATTTTGCATTTGGGCAGTGGAGTGTCTCTTTAATCTAGGCCTAGATTTAATTATTTTGGATACGCTTTTCAAATGATAACAATCTGTTTTAATTTATTTAGAGAGGTAACCATTAAAGTCTATGGTGAGTTTTGTAAATAAAATCATTTAAAACTTTCTGTGGCCATATTAAAAGCTCATCCAAAAATATTAAATCAAGGCCCTAGGCCTAGTCCTTAAAAACTGAGGCTTAGCAAAGAAAGCCCCAAATTTTGAAAAACGCAGGAAGATTTATCCTTTAGTAAAAATTTGGCTAAAGTTCACAGCAACTGTGTTATCATTCATAGCTCTGTTTGGGGGTAAACAAAAAGGTATTGTAAAAGAACTATGGATTTTTCATCTGGAGAGAAATTGCACCCAGATTTCACCATTTAGTATATCTATCTTTAGAGGATTTGTAAAGACACAGTGGCGTATTTAATTAATATTTACAAATAGCAATATTCCAAGACACAGCATTGCCGCTTTCTGTCCCTAAATAGCAGCCCATAACAAGCCAATTGAGGTGTGAGGAGTGTTTGGCATGGCTGTATTTACACAGAGAGAAAGGGAGGGAGAGAAGGAAGGCGTGACAGCCCTTGAGTACACATATATACCTGTAAGGGAACCCAGAGAGGGTCTCTCATAATCTAGAAACCCCAGGCCTGTAGACTGTGTGCTGCCCACATTGTTGTCCCAAAAGCTGACAATCAAAACAGCTATATATAACTGAAAGGATACTACGGGAAGGGGAGAGGTGTTTTTTGGGGGGCAAGGGGCTATGAGGATGGAGGGTCAGGAGATGCCAGAGTGGACATCGTATTGTGCGGAGCCTGTGGAGGTAAGTGGCAAAACAATAAACTTCAGTGATACAGGAGAGCATTTATATGAGGGAGACATGAAGGGGGGAGATTTCATTACAGCAACAAAACAGATTTGAGAGGGGCAAAGACAGGTAATGAGTGTAATGATAGGAAAGTGGGTAAAAGGGTTACATTTGGCCTTATTGAGACTGTGGCCCTCCTCAACTTCTTTTACTTATGTTCCCCATGTTTGTCAAAATGTACATGGTTTTATATTCCCATTGTACAGCACTGCACCATATGTTGGATCTATATTTACAACAACAATAATAAAGAAACATTACATAAAGTTGCCTCGCAGCAAAAGGGTTAAGACCTCACCAGTTCTCTCTCCGTGTCTGCATGGTGCCAGCGATTAATAGTCCTGATACCCACTTCCTCTCTGTGGTAGTGAAAAAGTTAAACCGCTCTACAAAGCTCACTTTGTGACCTACAAAGAGTTAATGTAAATGTTTTGCATAATGGCAGACTGGGTACTTGCACTGAAGGTTTCTCTGACGCAAGGAAATGGTTAATTAGCTCAAACGGCTCACTTTCCGATGCAGAGTTAATTTTGTTTCAGGGGTTAAACGCTGTAAAAATCTGTAACGTATTCTGTGTGTCACTCTGAGTGAGGAGAAAGAGTTCGCTGTTCTTTATAATTCACATTACGGCTCTGGAAAGATTAGTTTCTAGCCTAGTCTAGGGGTTAAAAGCTCGGTATCACAGAGAAAATACAAGATTTGCAGCCCTCGCTTGGAAATCAAAATGATTACATGCTTGAAATGTTACATGTAGAGTCTACATTATTTTTGTTGTGGAACACAAGGTGTTAACTGTTATGTGGTTGTCACTTTCTGGTAGGTGACCCAGGGATTGGGGGGGTTGAAGGTCATTTTTTTTTCCAGGGGAGGACTAGCAGTTTCCAGATCCCTCTTCTCTTATAGATGTAACGTAAGGCTAACTCTGTTGATGAGATTATGAATTAACTGGTCTTCTCCAAGGCAAGGAATGTGTTAAACTGAGTGTTTCTCTGAGGCAGGGGAGGGGTTAAGTGATCCCGGATTTAGAACAGGTTACAGGTATCTGTGTATCTTTCTGTTTCGAGGGTGGGAGGGGGGACGAGCATAAAGGAAAGAAAAAAGACATAACACCTATATAATAAAATATGTAGAACTTAACAAAAAACATTACATGGAGAAATTAAAGTACTGTGATTCCTAGTTTTCCAGCACTTATTGAATGCCTTCTTCTTTCAGGTCTACCCTACAGGAACCGCCATGGGTTCTTTGGCACCCCTTAATTCCTACATGACCCTGAACACTGTCGGGCTGCCACCCCCTGGCTCATATCAAGACTCCTCTTCTTCTACTGGCAACCAAGGCTCAGGATATCAGGCCTACACATGTCCCAGCCGCCCTCGGGAGGGCATGAAAAGCTACGACAGAAGAACAGTGGGCCACTCCAAACCCCCCTACTCATACATCTCGCTTATCACAATGGCTATCAAGCAAGCCCCTAGCAAGATGTTAACACTTAACGAGATCTACCAGTGGATCATGGACCTTTTCCCTTACTATCGTCAAAATCAACAGCGGTGGCAAAACTCAATTCGTCACTCTCTTTCCTTCAATGACTGTTTTGTCAGGGTATCCCGATCCCCCGATCGACCCGGCAAGGGATCGTTTTGGGCTATGCATCCAAATTCAGGAGACATGTTTGAGAACGGCTGCTACTTGAGGAGACAAAAACGGTTCAAACTGGCAGCGCAAGAAAAAACGGCCACACGGACAGCCAAGGAGACGGAGGGAAACAAAAATCCAGAAAAGGAGAGACGCGAAGGAGAGAAGCAGGAACTGGGAGCATGTCAAGCCTCTTTCATGGAAGACCGGGAGGGTGGAAGGGGGATGGGAGGTCATTTTATGGGGTTGGACGTTGATGAACTGGTGAGAGACACACGGTATGACTTTAGCCACCCATTCTCCATTAGCAGTCTAATGGGGGTCGGTGAGCAGGACGCAATGGCTTACAGGATCCCTGAAACCTCAGGTGAGGGTTCAGCTTTCTACCAGGGTGTCTACAGCAGATCCCTCCTGAATGCATCTTAGTTGGTATACAAGCATTGTTGAGAGCCCTTGCATGTTACACATGTTACAGAAAAGCACAGGACTTAAGTTTACTCACCATTTATTTGTTGCCCACATTGTTTCAATAATGACTCAAATTTCTAAAAGAAAAGATAAAAAGAAAATCAGATATTTTTAAATATAATACCTCACATTTACAAAAACATCTCACATTTCTTAACTTTAAAAAAAAAAAAATTATTTCTTCCCCCAATTTTTTTTTCCTCCATAGTTTTATGTCACTACAAAAAAAAAAAAAAATAGTCAATTTCTGAACTTGTTTTGTTTTCCTTTTTATACAAACCATTCTGAAATATAGTTTGAGGGAATTTTATTCCCAACATCAATTTGCATATTTCTTTAATACGAATAAAAAAAAAACCAAAAAGACAAAGTATGTGATTTTTTTTTCTTTAACAATGTCTATCTTAAAATGTATATGTTATGTTCTTAATGTGGATAGTTACTACTTTTTTTTTTTTTTAACAGTAATTTATGGGGAGGTTCAAAATGCATTAAAAAAAAAATTATTAATAAGGTTTCGTTTCATTTGAAATTCTAGATATTACATATTTTTAATATCTATTTAACCAAGGAATGGCATGATAAGTGACAAACATAATTTTGCAATTACAAAGCAGCTCAATGTGATTTACTGCTAAGCAATAAAAATAAACATAGGCCTTAAAGGGACACTATAGTCACCCAGACCACTTCAGCTCAATGAAGTGGTCTGGGTGCCAGGTCCCGCAGGTTTTAACCCTTCAGATGTAAACATAGCAGTTTCAGAGAAACTGCTATGTTTACATTGCAGGGTTAATCCAGCCTCTAGTGGCTGTCATCCTGACAGTCGCTAGAGGCGCTTCTGCGACGCAGAACGTCCATAGGAAAGCTGTCGTCGGCAGGAGAGGAGAGGTCACTTGGCGCTGGATTAAAGTAAGTAACTGAAGGGGTTTTAACCCCTTCAGCGCCAAGGGAGTGAGGCCCTGAGAGTGGGGGGGGGGCCTAAGGATTATATAGTGTCAGGAAAACGAGTTTGTTTTCCTGACACTATAGTGATCCTTTAAAGTCTCCCATGTAAAGATGCTAATTGCATTGAAAAGAAAATGCAAGTTTCTTCTATACATACTATATTTCTATTAATGTATGTATTTCTATATGGTGTCGAGAAGAAACAAACCAAATAAAAGTCAGTGACTGATGAGACAAGCACACAACACACACAGATCTGTAGCTATCTATAAACTACATTCACCGCCAATCACAGAGTATCCTCTGATCTTATATAATTTGGGTGGATGAGCAATCTCACGGATGAGGTGCTTTCATGGATAAATTAGATGTAGTGAAAAAGGCATATTATCAGTTTATAAAAATAGATCGTCCATGTTTACAAATTAATCATTTACTTATTGCTTTCCAGAAAAACTAATTTCAAAAGGCAAATCATCTGCCTTTACAATTAACCACACGAGTGCCAGATAAGTCTCAAAAGGCTGATCATTCACCATCAACGACTTTCCTACAATAACATGCTACGATTATTACTGTATGTAAATCAACCTGCATCTAAGCTAAAAAAAAGAAAAAGTAGACATATAATAAAAGATATACTGTAAGTACAAAGGTGATGAGGCATACAATATTCTGAGACATTTAAAATCGAATTTGTATAACGTGTTAACTATTTACATGATTGAAAATGTAATTTAAAACAATTTCAATGTATTTTACTTACAGACACTGATTTCTATACACATGTATTGTAGTTTACAGACACATCGATGAGAGTTTATTACTGCAAAGCACCAAATATTGGGCACTATACACACCAAATATTGGGCACTTCTAGAAAAAGTGGGCACTAGAATAGAAAAAAAGAACAAAAGGATTTAGGCCCTTAATAGGTAATGACCCACCTAAATGCGGAAGCCTGGGAACTATGTAGATCTATATATGCACAGATTCTGCAAACATGTGAGCACACTAACATGGCGCCAACTAAAGTGAGAATTTCTCATTTTTGGCTAAAATGATAGTCAGACTGGAAGTATAGCGGACTTGGGAGAATTTTTCCAGTTCACCTATCTTGGTCTTAAATTTGAAATTCACATGAAATTCATTTTTGATTTCCCAACAATTCTCAATTTAGTAAATACCCTGTAATAGATGCATGCACCTCTGTTTTTGTATTTATCTCTAAATTGCAAATCTGTGCGGGTGCAAATTCAGGCGGCGTGCATTACTAACGAAAGGCGTTTGCAGGGGGGCTTGTAGTCAGATCAGGGGGTTTGGCTCTGATGTCACTACGATTCCCGTTAGCCTCTCACACTCTTACGCACTGACAGACCTTTACTGTCTGTCCAGCATACACTGAGACAGACAGCGAGCCTTGCTCAAAGGACATTTATAGAATCTGAGTCAGACTTCAATTATAATCAGTGTTCTCTGGGTTATTGAAAAAGAAAAAAAAAAAAGATTTTTAAAAAATATGCACTTTTAAAATAATTTGCTAATATTAATATGAAACTGCTGAGACTAACACCATAAATACATATATAAAAATCTATAAAATAAATCTACCATAAGTATCCTAAAGATGGTCAATATAGTAAGGAGTTATTAAGCAGACTAAGGGGCTCTGCGGAGACACATGAGCCACGTGGCCTTGATTTTGTGGTTTAAATCTTGTGAGCCCATTAATAGCACTATAGGCCCTTAATACACAGTTAAAGGTCATGTATCCTTTATACAGAGTGTTATGCGCATTAAAATGTAAAATAAATATAAACGCACACATTATCTATACATACACATAGTACTAATACATATACACACGCCAATCCCAACACACAGGCTTCCCTTCTCTCCCCACTACACACTAGACGGATGTCCTCACACCACAGAGACACCTTTCATACACGGATCTAGCCAGACAGAGAGCTTTCTAGCTGACCCACCCTGTGAGACACGGGAAGGAAAAGAGAGGGGGAGAGACACAGACAGAGAAGGTGGGGAGAGAAGATACACAGATTTAAGCACATTTTTAAAAAAACTAAAAGCCACATGTCTTGGTGTAAAAGAAACCAAATTAACCCTCCGCTGACCAATGTTACGTTCATAGCACATACCCATATAGCTTTAAACATTTGAGTTGATACATAAATGTATGTCTTAAAATGATTTATTTGGCAAGCACAGCATCACTGATTGACAAAATGATTTGGCTCATAGGCCATTAGGTCCTTTAAGAAAGGGTATCTCTTAATATCATGCTTTTACTAAATTCCCAGAAATGATTTGGGGGCTCCAATGAAGTTTAAATTGAAAGTGAATTAAAAAAAAAAAAAAGTTTATTCATATGGTCATAAACTGACAACAGTTTTTTTTAACTAGTACATCATTCACGACTAAAACGGTGCTGGCCGCAGGGCTACCCTTTTGTTTTTTACTTCGTGTGATGCCAGTAGCCAGATGACGTAACGAGGCCAGATATATAATTATTACTTAATTGCAGGTAATGATACAAATGTAATTAAGACTCAACCCCTAACCCTAAAAACATGCTGGGAGGCCCAGGAAATGGGTACCAGTAGCAACTGAATATCCAATCGTCCAAAGGAACGTACTGGACATAAAATAAACAAACAGATAAAACCAATTGCTAAACTATACATATGAGAAAAAAGCATAGCAATACTGTATGATACTTTAGGAATAGGTACATAAAAGAAGCAGTCAAAAAGGTATGTGTAATTAACAAAGTAACACTAATTAGCTTTGTGTTTATTTTCATGAATGTGCCTATTATTCGTGGTCATACATTCATGTGGCTGCGATGCAGACAATCATTACAAAAATGAAAAGAAAAAAAATAGAAAAGCTATGAGAGAGCCATTACTGGTTATTTAGAACTTACATGACAAAAATGTTATAACACCACGGAGAAATCTAGTTTCATGTGGCTTCTACATAGAATATTTGTGCAACATGTGATGTGGATGATGAATGTGAGTGTCTTGTGAGTAACAGAATGGCGTATGTCACATGGTTGGCTCACAGCGCGAGAATACTTTGTTTTTTTAAACACTGGCATACAGGTTTACAGTAATAACGTATCACAGGGAACTAGACGTCAGAAGTTAAAGATCTTTCACTGATCTCACCGTTGTTTTGGGGGTGCTTGGAGCTGTTGCTATTTGGTTTTGATGAACCGATGTATTTTTAGCACTATTAAAGGGATAATACATGCACCACAACCACTTGATTGATTTGAAGTGGCCATGGTGTCATGTATCTGTATGTGCAGAGTTCCGCTGGCTAATGTAAATTCTGTGCATGTTTCTATACATAGAGTTACATTTGTTGGCTAAGAACGTTCAGCTAACCCTCTCAGCCAATGGATGACCCAGGGGATCTGCATACTGTTTTTGCAGCACTGTGAGAAGCGAGATACATGTCACCAGCCTTAGTACAACATTCACGTCTAGCGTCCCAGGTAAGAGGGAAACTCTACCGGGAAACTGGGCCAGGGTACTCCTTACATTATAACCAGTACAGCAGGCTTGGGGTAATCCTTTAAGTATTTTTTTGTTCTCTACTCATTTATTTCTACATTTTACTATTCTTAAGTAGAACCCTTACCCCAATCATTGTAGATATAGTTATTTTGTTTTGCAATACGAGATATTAGTGCACACACTTGAAAGTGGGAGTACTTCTATCAGAGTGCTCCAGATAGGGAAGGTGAGTTCCCTACAAAAGTCCACTGGAAGTAAATAAAAGTACCAAGGCACATGTGATGGTTTCTTCTAAAACATAATTTCCCAATAGATGTTCCGCAGAACCCTAGGGTTCCGCGAGAACAAAACTGGGGTTCAGACGTGAATCTCCACATCCAAAATGGCCACCGCTCCCTGCTGTTCCCAGAAGGTCGGGAACAGCAGCAGAGATCACGCTGCCGCGATTTTATTAAGTGATCGAGAGATTGCACAGCTATGCATATCGGCCCTCAGCCCGCCCTCTGTCGCTGCCATATTCACGTCTCCATTCCAACAGCCATTTAACGTGAATCATGCCAACTAAACGAAGTGAACTTTAGTCTACGGCAAAAAGGGCCGCCGCCATACAAGCTGCTTTGCATCTGGTGTTTAGAACACTAAACATTAACAATTTGCTGTAGGCAGCGCTTTCCTTCGCAAGAGGCCTGTGAGCAAGATTGACAGCCAGTGTTCTGACATCACTGGAGGTACATACGACGGAAGTGACTTTCAGTTGTGGTTGGCAGGAGAGATGAACTTCCGTCGCCACATGGTTGGTAAAGTACAGGTATTAAATAGACTCAGTGACAAGCAGACAGGAGAGGTAAATAATGTCTTAAATAAATGGTCACTAAGAACCGTTCAGCCATTGATATGTTATTTTTGTTATGTATATGTTAGGAGTAATTATTTACCATGCCCCACACAGACAGCCTCTGGCATTTCCTATTTTATTTTTCAGGTGTGTACATTATTTTTCACAGGCAGCTGGTAATCTCCTATTTATGTAGGTTTAATAAATATAAAGTATTTCGATGTTGCTATAGAACTATAGAAACGGGTCTGATTCTCTGTTTCAGTGTTAATATCGTTTGTTCAACTGTTAAAAGAGAGATTTGTTTGTGACAGTCGAAGCACCATAACCACTGTTTATCAGTATCCTTTGCAGTGAGGTAGTAAAATCTGTAGTAGTGTTCTTTTTGCTCCAAGACTGACTCCATATCCTAATTACATTATCTTCTTTTTAAGAGCTTTATAAGAAGCAGCATCCATTGCAGTCAGGTAGTGAGATCTGTGCTTTTTTCAGTTTAGAAAAGTTTTTTGGTTTTTTTACCAACCAACAACGATGAATTTGGACATCTGGTTAAAAGAAGGAACTATCAAGAGAAAAAAAATACTACTTATAACTGTTCTATATAACAAGAAATCAAGAAAACAGGTCTGACATAGTTGAATCCACACAATGCTACCCAATTATCTTCTCAATCAAAGAAAAGAAAATATGATGACAGCTACTTATCATTTGGATTCACAAGTGCCAGAAATAAAAATATCCCTCAAGCACAATGCTTACTTTGCAAGAAAATATAGCCAAACAGTTCGTTAGCACCTGCTAAATTACGTCATCAAAGACATTGCCCTTTTAAAGCGAAAGCTTCAGGAGTATTAGAAGACTTAACAGTGTATGAGCAAAATATTTAAAAATTATAAAGAAAAAGCCACTCATTAAAAGGTTTGTGCTATGGCACAAAAATATTTTTGGGGTTCCACGATGTTCGTCTACTATGTCAAAGGGTTTCACGGCAAAAATGAATTGGGGACCCTTGTTCTAAAAGGCAGTCTATATTCAGAACACAGAAGTGGAGACAACGTTTCGGCTCCTACAAGTCTTGAAAAAGGCTTATTTAGGAGCCAAAACGTTGTCTCCACTTCTGTGTTCCAAATAAAGACTGCCTTTTAGAAGAAACCATCAGGTGTGCCTGGATACTTGTATTTACTTCCAATTTAAACAGTCACATTCTTATAATATGTGGAAGTGATAATTACATTTTGATGCAATCATTGAGTTGTAATAGACAGTTAATTAAAGGACATTGAGGTTACATAGTTATAGAGGTTACATAGCTATAAATTAGAGAACAGTTACAGTAAATTAATGAACATACAAAAAAACAACAAAGGTTACATATGAGAGAGGGTAGATGGGTAGAAGCATGTTTGTGGAGGGATTTGTAAATAAGAGTGGGCAGGGGGAGACAAATGGTTCCCCTTGCAAACACTGCTTGCAAGTAGAGAATCTGACCATATCTGTCGCCAGCGTACAGCGTCCAGACGTAACTTTTGCACAGAATTGATACGGCTAGCCCAGAACAGAGTACCGGGCTGCTTAAGTTATGTGTGCCAGGGGTGCAACTAGACCTTGGCACAAAAGTGATTACATCTCTGGTTGTGCACTGTTTCAAGCCCAAACGCTGCACACACAGACTTCTACCACCAAGACCACTTTAAATCACTAAAGTAGTGATGGTGGTTGAAGTGAAAGAGAATAGAAGGTGGTAGAGGGTGAGGGGAAGAAGAGCATGTTTGTTTTACTTGGGTTATTTTGCAGAAAGCATAAGGACATACAGGAGGCAATGGCAGAAAGGTAGGCTATTACTCCATCTGACAAATTTGGAATTGAAAAGGCTGTTCACATGCATTAGCTTGAAATAGCGTAGCAACAGAAAGACAAGCACAAAAAGCCTTTTCATTTCCTATGCATCATCACAATGTCGTGACCCCGGCAAGTGTCACTCCATGATGTGTGCTGCCTATAAACACTGTGAAACTTTGCAGTTCTTAATATAAATGTATATTACAAATAGACTATTATTAAATATTAAAATGAAGACACACTAAGCATTATGGAATAACTGGGTTGTTTTTTTCATGGATTCGGCAAAATTTAACATATAGGAAATCATTCTCATTAAATGATAGCATTGGATATTAGATTTTCACATATAGACATATATCAAACATTATGAAGAAAGAAATGACTGATAAAAAGAAAAATAAGCAGATAAATGACAGTTATAATAATAATAATAAAAATAATAGAGGAAAAATTACATATTTATTTTTGTTACACGTTTTATTGTAGAAATGTTGCAAATAACATTAAGAATTCCATTTTAATAAGTCAACTACAGAGTTACCTGCAAATGATGGGTCTTAGCATGAAAACCATATGAGTTGTAGTTGTTATTTGTGTATGATGTTATTCTGCATAATCATGTAGTTCATTTTCTTAAATTGAATCTTTCACGCTACATGGTATTTAATATACTTTATATTACTACAAGGCTCAGAATGAATCCATGTATGTATTTCTGCGTGTTTAGGGTAAGTGTGAATACATGTTTGAATCTACGGGTGCAGGGTCAGTGTGAATACATGTTTGTATCTACGGGTGCAGGGTCAGTGTGAATACATGTTTGTATCTACGGGTGCAGGGTCAGTGTGAATACATGTGTGTATTTATGGGTGCAGAGTCAGTGTGAATACATGTTTGTAATTACAGGTGCAGGGCCAGTGTGAATACATGTTTGTATCTAATGGTGCATGGTCAGTGTGAATACATGTTTGTATCTATGGGTGCAGGGTCAGTGTGAATGCATGTTTGTATCTATGGGTGCAGGGTCAGTGTGATTACATGTTTGTATCTATGGGTGCAGGGTCAGTGTGAATACATGTTTGTAATTATGCATGCAGGATTAGTGTGAATATATGTATATAATTTTGGGTGCAAGATCAGTGTGAGTGCATGTATATAATTAAGGGTGCAGGGTCAGTGTGAATGCATGTATATAATTAAGGGTGCAGGGTCAGTGGGAATGTATGTATATAATTAAGGGTGCAGGGTCAGTGGGAATGCATGTATATAATTAAGGGTGCAGGGTCAGTGGGAATGCATGTATATAATTAAGGGTGCAGGGTCAGCGGGAATGCATGTATATAATTAAGGGTGCAGGGTCAGTGGGAATACATGTATGTAATTATGAGGGCAGGGTAAGTGTGAATACATGTGATTATTTATGTGTGCAGGATCAGTGTGAATACATGTGATTATTTATGTGTGCAGGATCAGTGTTAGTACATGTGATTATTTATGGGTGCAGGATCAGTGTTAGTACATGTGATTATTTATGGGTGCAGGGTCAGTGTGAATACATGCGGATCATTGCGTATGTGTATGTATTTATGGGTGCATTTTGCTGGGAGTGGACAGATTAACCTCTAATCAAGACATATTTATGACAGAAGCATCTGCTACCTTTGTATTCAACATTTTAGACCATATGTTACTACATTTTACACTATTAAAAGAAGCATTTCCTAGATAATATTTCATTTTACGAATAAGATAATTTTCTTCAATTAATAAAATATAGAAAAATTCCTACATAAAAACATGTCTTCGCTCAGCACTTCACATCACCCATACCAAACTAAAATAAAAAGCAATCAACACATCAAGTATTGTGATCAGAGACTCAATGCACCCAATACATCAAACATAGGGGCTGTGCTGCAAAACGTCTGTGTTAAACAAGCAAAATGCTTGCTGTGGTAGGAGACCCACAACTGGACTGTATTGTACACACACATTACTTTCTCGGGTTGGGCTTTGAGAAGTCCTTCTTTGACATAGAAACTCGAGAAATCATGTTTCCACAGCTATCCCAGAGTTCCCAGCTTCACATGCAAATGACTGAAATGACTTCCATACTTGGTGAAAGCTCACTGTAGAAGCTGCAAAGCCTGGGGATTCGCTACAAGTGTAATAACTAATAAAATTGTATTATTATTTTTAACTTATAGGTCATGCTTATATTTTAGTATATTGTGAATTTAATAAATAAACAACAAGTATTAACTCCAGTTGTAAATGAATTAAAATATTTTATTTATATACATCTTTGTCTATAATCTTTTTTTCTGCTTAATTTACTTTGCGATCAGATGTCTATAGGCATATGTGAAAGACATGCATGTCAGTAAGTTACCCAAAACACTAAACTCACATTTTCATATTGGTGGCTGCACGAAAATCGGTAAGAATTAGGGACATATCGAACTCCGTATACATACACACACAGATTCAGTGTGAGTCTTTATATATAATTACACTCTGCATAAGAAGCTTGCTATTTTCCTTCCCGTATCCAACAAGACTTTCCATCCAAACATCCGTTGGCAACATAAAAGCTTCTGTGTGAAGGAATAGTGGAAAGGGCTGCGGGGCAGGATGGAGGTGCAGTGACAGACCTTCATGTAGGAATAGTGGAGAGGAGGTCAGGGCAGATGTCAGGGTGTAGTTGCAGAGCTGTGGTGTGGGCTGCAGAGCAGGAAATTGGGAGTGTAGTTGCAGAGCCATGTGCTGGATAGTGAAGAGGGCTGCTGGGCAGTAAATTGGTGGTGTAGTTGCAGAGCTGAGTAGGATTAATGGAGATGGCTGTAGGGCAGTAAGTTAGTGGTGTAGTTGAAGAGCTAAGTGGGGGATAGTAGTGTGGGTTTAACGGCAGTAAGTTAATGATGTAGTTGCAGAGCTGAGTGGGGGATAGGGGAGTGGGTTTAAGGGCAGTAAGTTGGTAGTGTAGTGCAGAGTTGAGTGGGGGATAGTAGAGTGTGTTTAAGGGCAGTAAGTTGGTGGTGTAGTTGCAGAGCTGCGTGGGGTTAATGGATTTGGCTGTATAGCAGGAGGTTGGTGATGAGTTGCTGAGCTGAATCGTAGTAAATGGAGATGGCTGTAGAGCAGTAAGTTGGTGGTGTAATTGCAGAGCCGTGTGTTGGATAGTGGAGTGGGTTTAAGGGCAGTAAGTTGGTGGTGTAATTGCAGAGCTGTGGGTTGGATAGTGGAGTGTGTTTAAGGGCAGTAAGTTGGTGGTGTAGTTGCAGAGCTGTGGGTTGGATAGTGGAGTGGGTTTAAGGGCAGTAAGTTGGTGGTGTAGT